TTTTACTAAAAAAAAAAAAAAAAAAACTTTTCATAAAGTGAATTTTGGTTCTCTCTTTCATAATTTCTGCTAAAACATGAGAGTGCTTTGTTGAGATTATTTTATAGTTTTTTAATTTAATGTAGTTTAGTTTATATGTGTTAAAATTGTTAATTTGTGTTATACTGAAAATTCTAGTTTGGTGTATAATTTCTTTTACTTTAAACGTTTGTATCAATTATTTTAGTTCATAACTCCTTTTTTTTACTTTTTTTTTGTTTGTAAATACTTATTATGTTAAATTTCTTACAGTTATAAGATTTTTAAGTTGGTAAAATACTTTTTTGTTAAAATTAATAAATTTATAAGTTGGTTGAAGTAAAATTTGTTAATATATAGATAAAATTCTAAAATTAAAAGTAAATAGTTTTTTTTTAAAAATCCCAACTTTGATTAAAAAAAGAGCGTCAATGACTTTATTTTGAGGTCACATGATGAACAAAACTGAGTAGTGAGCAAATTCTATTTATCGGCGTCGTTCTTTGACTGAACCCACTTGAATAAAATCTTAGATCCACCACTGTTGCCATTACCCATTAGTTCTATAATGTGCTCAAGTTTACTAGACCACCTTCAAAGCTAATTCAATCAGATCAGGATATTAAGGATAACGTGAGTAACACTGTCGATTCCTCAAAACATCTAACTTCATAGAGTCCTATGAAATATATGTCACAAGAAATATTGAAAAAGTAAAAGTAAAAGGAGACGACAGAATAACATTTAAAAGCAAATTACTAAACTAGTTGAATCTAAACTACAGAAAAGGTGTTTATGGTGGTTAAGACGCTGAATATGGTGAAAAGGATGAAGAATGTGGGAATTATAGTCAGCATATGCCAGTATTAAGTGAGAGGAAATCACACCAGGATCCATCAAAGAAAGGGACGAAGGACAGAATTATGCAGAACTATCAAGAAAGTAGCTATCAACTACCTCTATTATCGGATATAACTAGAAATTGGTATAGAATGTAGTAAGATATATTTTGGCTATGCATTAATTTCCTCTTCACTGCATGCAACACAGGACAGGTTTAACCATTAAGAGCCAACATTCAGACCAGAACATAATAAAGATCTGAAGAAAAGAACACTCAACTGCACCGGTATATACAGTAATATTGTAATAATATAATTCAAAGGAGCCAAAAATAGTGAAAGTTGAAGTTATGACTCCAGTTGTATAGCCACTACCAGCCTGGAGTTCTATTTGCTCCCCAAAAGTTCATACTTTAGGCTACCAGTGAAACTAGACAATTCATAAAAATTGGGTCTTTAAGATGTACAACAATCAACTTGAACGCACAAATTACTTTTTAATCTGAATAAAAGTATAGCAGATTGCTTTGCTACTTCTGCCAAGATACCTTTGCTTTTGCGCATTCTACAATAGAAAAACGTAACTGCCGTAAAAGGAACTTTTTTGATAAATGACTGCTAAGAATTACAAAAATGCATGTCCAACGGTTGTGGAGTCTACAAGGAGGAGAAGAGCAGTGGGATGTGAGATTTAGAAGAACTTGCAAGATTGGGAGGTAGAAGAATTTCAAAACTTGCTCGAATTGCTTCACGACCAAAAAATTTCACTAGATAGTCATGATACATGGAGATGGAGTGCTGGGGAAAATGGCATTTTTTCTGTGAAGTCCTATTATGAGAAGCTTCTATCTAGGGAGGAGCCTGTCTTCCCACATAATTCGGTATGGATTCCCAGGGTACCGAGAAAGGTGTGCTTCTTTACTTGGTTAGCTACATGAGGGGTGATCTTGACGGCGAAGAATTTGAGGAAGAAGAAGATTATATGTGTTAGTTGGTGCTTCATGTGCAAAAAATCGGGAGAAGATGTGAATCACCTCTTTATACATTGCCGGATAGCATCTTATTTGTGGGGGGTTTGAGTTGGTTTGGTTTCAAGTGGGTGATGCCAGGCACAGTGAAAGAAGATATGTTTCACTTCCGTCAGAAGACGGAAGAGAAAACGCAGAGCTTGTGATGTTGCTCTCCTAGCACTCATGTGGGTTAATTGGAATGAGAGGAATAGGAGAGCTTTTGATGGAGTAGAAAAAGATCTTGTTCACCCTTGAGGAGTAGCCTCTTTTCCCTTATTTATTTTTGGTGCACCCTTGAGGTTCCTATTTGTATAGAAGATTGGGTGTTATTCGTAGAAAGCCATGTCCTTTTGTAAGGTTTTCTACTTTTCGTTATACTCCTTGTATACGGGCATGTTTTGCCCTTTTTTAATGAAATTTATCGGTCTATCGGAAACAGCCTCTCTACCTTTATAAAGCAGGGTTAAGGTCTGTGTACACACTACCCTCTCCAGACCCCATTTATAGGATTACACTGGGTTTGTTGTTGTTGTTGTTGTTGTATTACCTTATCAAAAAAAAAGGATTACAAAAATACTCTAGAATATGACAAAAAATGCCATAATGCAACAACCATAGTGCAAAGGATACTTCGCAGCATACCTTTATTGAAATGGGAATCATGATGGAACAAAGAAGCTCAAACCGAAGAGGGATGACCAGTAACTCGTACCATGGACCTTCATTTGGATATTGGACATACCATAGCTACAAGATGAACAAAAACCTGCAATCAGACAGATGAAAATCCACACCAAACAAGGATCTTATAGACCTCGAGAGGTTGCTACATGAGAGCTCAACCATCAAACATAGAGAAAGCAAGACAGAAAGGGGATACAAACTATTCCAAGAGGAAACAATCTAAGACGCATTATATAATCTTTTTTTATATACAAAAATATTGAATGTGTGACCATCTCATCAAAAAGCTTAAAGCACACTTTTAATTACCCAATTATATTATGTTGCAACATGCCTCCTCGCGTATGGGCCTAGTTCTTTTTCATGGACCAAACACGTGGAAATTGGGCGGCAGTGAGATTTGAACCCGGGACTTCTTGCCCTCTCTGCTAACATGTTGAAGCATGTTACCATCTCATCTAAAAGCTTAAACTATTAGAGAGAGCACAGTTTTAATACCTAATATATTATGTCTCAACATGCATATAAGAAAAAGACACAAAACACATTATGAACTACCAGAACACAGCAATGCTGATGGAGACAAGACGGATACCCCATGAGACAGCAAAATTAATTCATCACATGCTACATCTTCAGTGACTTCTTATTGATCTAATTCTCATAAATACATCTACAGCAAAATCACATTTAACTGGAGTGCGATATCAGATGGTACATATATCTTGATTTCATCGCTCAATCTTGACTGGCATCATCACTCATGGAACATAGATCAAGTGCAAGCATAGAGCCATATTTATGAGTCAACTGAGCTCATAAAAGTTTGGGATTGAGAGTTAGTTCAACCGAGCTCATAATTTCCAAATACCCCATAGCAGTTCAGAGTTGTGCACCTCCCTGACTCCCTCCCTCCCCAGACATTTTTTTGATAATGGATTCACATACATGTAGATATATATACATACACAGACGCATATGTATGCACTATACAGTAAAATAGGCAATTGCTCCTGAGTTCTAATAATGTTCAAGCAAATTCCAGAACTACTGGGAAACAGAGGTCGTGATGATGTTTGACTATGCAAGGAGTTTAAGAAAAAAAAAAAGAGACTTTGAAACTTGGGTCTAAAACAAGCCATAGGTATTTGTGTTGCTATAAATCATCTTATTAAGGGAAAACCAGAAGTTTAAAGTTAAATTCTTTCTAAACATAGAAAGCTACCATTCTTTTTGAGATAGACTAAAATGGAAATAAAGGGCAACCCGGTGCACTAAGCTCCCGCTATGCCCGGGGTCCGGGGAAGGGCCGGACCATAAGGGTCTATTGTACGCAGCCTTACCCTGCATTTCTGCAAGAGGCTATTTCCACGACTCGAACCCGTGACCTCCTGGTCACATGGCAGCAACTTTACAAGACTTGGGACGGAAATACCCAAGTCTTGTAAAGGGGAAATACCATCACATAAATTGGTACAGAGTAACAGATTTGGGCAACAATAATAACACATGTCATTAAAACAAGACTTAGGCCGCAAGTCCACAACTTAGTCAGTATCTCCATTAAGTTAACAAGGTCCCAAGTCCCAACTCTCTATACATAATATATATAACCAAAACACATTTGACAAGGGAGGCATAACCTAGTGGTAAGGACCCTCCACCTCCAAAACCATATGGAGTCTCCAGGAAGCAAGGTGGGAAAGAGCCAGAATTTGATTCCTAGGTGAAGCGGTTGGTGGGGTGGGGTTACCATGTCAAAGAAAAACAGCCGAAACACATTATTCCTTATATGATTGCACATCATTCAGAAGTTCCAGTTGGAGTTTCTTTGGAAGAAGAAATATTGTTGAGCATCAGAATGCAAGTTTTCATTCTAGCATTTCTGTCAACCTTATTTTAGATTCGTTTCACCTTGACCTGGATAAGTAATTAATATGAAGGCCTCAATTTTNCCCACCCAAAAGAAAAAAAGAAAGGGATGAAAGAAATGCATCAAAAAATCAAAAAGCAGAAATCTTCTTATATGTTATAAAATGATGTCTAGTCCACCCAAAACAGAATTTTTGAAACGGTGACACCATGATTTATATGTGTTGAAGACATAATTAAATAAATTAAAGTGTGGTCTCTCTAATAGTTTAACCTTTTAGATGAGATGGTCACACACATGGTTTTGGGTTCAAGNGGGGGAAGACATAATTATGTAAATTAAATTGTGGTCTCTTTAATAGCTTAAGTTTTAGATCAAATGGTCATATACTTCAACAATATAGATACTTAACAAGGTTTACCCATAAAAGGTAAAATATAAAGAGGTCACAACATAACTCTGTTTTTCAATTACAGTTTAACCAGCAGAGGTTCAATAACTCCCAACATATACTTGACTATTAACTCAAAATTTTAAAAATAATATAAACAATATCATTAACATGTTTTATATGACGCGAACCTTGCGCGCTTCTGTATCTTTCCAGACATTCCCAGCAATACCCAGAACAATAACAACGACTATCTGAAAAACAAATATTGCGCCTGTCAACTTGTCAATCATGGCATCCATGGCTGTAAGCTTTGGTTCTGGTATGCCCCTACTCATGCCAAGCTTTGTTTCATTCCCTGAAAGAAAGAGAGAGAGGTCATGAATATACTTCACGAAGGAAGAAAAATGAGGCACCTCAGGTTATCATAGCTTATAAGTAAAATGATAGAGCATTAGTTCATACTTTAGAACTTTATGAGGACAGGAAAATAATAGAAACAAGTTGGGCAATTCAGAAAATTAATCTTAGAGAAATCATTTCCCTGCGTATGACAAGAAGATAACTGAATGGTAAAAGTACGTAGGGCAATTGAACTGATTTTCATCAGACTGCAAGAAAAGAAAAAGGGAAAAAGAACAAATGAATAAATAAATAAATTCTGACCGTTGCTGCCAACCTTGATTGGCCTGTTGAATAGCTAAACGTGAAGAATGCATTATTGAATGGATAACTTCAAGAAGAGGTTTACATGGATCCTCCTCTGGGCTTTAAAGAAAGGTATGAAACTAGAGTGTGCAAGCTAAAGAAATCTCTACGGGCTCAAACAGTCTCCAAGAGTTTGGTTTAAGAGGTTTACTCAATTTATTAAAAAACAAGGGTATACTCAAGGGCAAGTAGATTTCTGAAAGAGACAGGGTGTGTGGGTGTCGGCCAGCTGAAACATCTATTGATCCGAAAATAAAATTAGGAAACAAGCAGGAAATTCAATTTGACAAAAGTCAAGGGATAGTTTCCTAGTTTGTTTTTTCTCTTTCTATAAATCTGTACCTCTAAAGATGAACAAAGTATCGCATTTCCGGTACCAAAACTTACAAAATCTGCCTGCGTTTAATTGGAAAACTACTTTCATTTTCTCCATCAAATATTTATATTAAATGATTTTCACATGACAAACGTGATTATGCAGGAGAAGAAGTGGGATGATAGAAAAACCAAATTTTCAGTTCTGATACAGGACCAAGTTAGTGGACACTTCAAAACACATGAATCAGGATATGTTTCAATGCAGAGAAGTTGAGGTTGCACACAAATTACATTAAGTTGACATCCCCTCTAGATTGTCATAATTTAAGGGGACCTCCCTTCTAGTTCTAAAAATCACACAAACCTCTGATCTACTTAAATCTATGATTGCACAAATTTCCCTTCTATTCATCAAAAATAAGCTAGGTGATGAGTATCCTCTTACTTCTTCTGCCAAACTTCACTAAATTGCAGCAGCTTAAGGAAAACTATTTCTTGCACATAATGAGTTTAGAGGGACACAAAAAGGGAAAAAAGAACATAAAACATAACTGTTAGTTTACAGATATGTATAGTGTAGTCTTGTCCCACATTGGAAGAGGAGTAATATCTCCTTGTAGTGTATAGCTATAAATAGGGACCTCTTGTATTGTATTTATTATCCAATATCAATAACATATTTTCTCCCGTGCCTTCTCACATGGTATCAGAGCATTAGTGAGAAAAGATCGTTGTGCGTCATTCCAGCGTTAACCGGGAAGAAAGAACTTAGTCATCGTGCAATTTTTCCGGTGACCTAAGGCTTGTCTAAGTGAAAGTCACTTCCTGTCGGTGTTGTGCTAAAACCAACACCACCACGAGGTAGATCACCCTCCGACGACCAACCCCTGAAATTTTATCCGACAGAAAAGCCGCCACGCTCATCCACGCGCCGGCGACAACAACTTTTCCGGCGAGGGTTCCGGTTACTTTCCGGCCATTTTTTGGCGAAGCTTCTTCAGGACAGTGTGCTCTCCTCAAAATTCCGAGCCTACCCATCTAATTCAAATCAAATTCCGACCACTTTTATATTTTTCCGGCGTGAACAGTGACCTTTCCGGCCATTTTTTTTTTAAAAATATTTCTTCAGGACAGCTTGCTCACAAGGGAATTCCGAGTCTATCCATCCTGGTTACGACAAATTCCGACAACTTTGGAATTTTCCGGCGACCTACAGTGTTTCCGGCGCAGAACAGTGTTTTGTTTTCCTGCTGTAAACGGTGTTTTTCAAGCTATTTCTTCAGTTTTCTTACAGGAATTACTTATTTCCACTATTTCAAGTTAACCCTACTACTACAAATTGTAGCGACATGGGAACCGATACTTTGAATAGTCGGATGGTTTCTTTAGCAAATTATATTGAGTTCCTTCAGTACAAAGCAGGTAAACAGACATCTTCTGAGATAGCTTCTGTTGTTCAAACAGGTAATAGCGTGACTTGTTTCTCCCAATCTTTATCCTCTGAGTCTTGGGTCATTGATTCAGGTGCATCAGATCATATTTCTGGTAACAAATCTTTTTTCACTACTATTTCGTATTCTCAATCTCTTCCAAAAGTCACAATGGCCAATGGGTCTCAAACCATGGCAACTGCAATAGGTCAAGCAAGCCCACTTCCTTCCTTACCTTTAGATTCAGTCCTTTATGTTCCCAATAGTCTTTTTAATCTCATAACTTTTAGTCGCTTAGCCAAATCACTTAAATGTGCTGTTTTATTTCTTGATGACCATGTTTTTATACAGGAACGTAGTACGGGGCGGATCATTGGTACCGGGTGTGAATCAAACGGACTTTATTATCTTATCCTTGCT